TATCATCGTGGCACTAGATGTCGCCTTCCATCCAGTCAGGAGCGGAAGAAAAGGGGAAGATGCGCAACGCCGTTTTCCACTACTGAACTGCCAAATATGAGGGATTGCTTTATGCTGAAGACGTTTAATGGAACGGTCTGAAAACCACTATTTGCATTTTAGCAAGGCACTTTTATTTTTTTAGCCAATTCTGATGTTTGTGGATTTTGTTTTCTCCCTGTTTTGAAATAAATGGTTATTGCAGGGGCACGTGGATTGTCACACCCATAGGCGGAGTTTGGCGATCCTCATGTTTTCAAATGAATGAAACCGAGCCTGTCAAATGGTGAAACAATGTGCGCGCGAATTTTCCGCCTGCATTCTTCGATTCAGGCAATGAAGAGCGGGTTTTCGTAAAATAAGGATTCTCAAAATGGGATATTTGTCAGTGTTTACCAAATAATAACCTTCTCTTCGCAGCGTCTTCTTGTTCAGCTACTCAAGAACGTGAGACTGTGGGAAGGGAGCCACAGTTGTGACGGTGAATAGAGGCGACGCGGACGGCTAAGATAGGCAAACATTTTTGTTGATCAATGTGGAAAGCCACTTGCTTTGAGCCCTTATAGGCCGCACCAGAGCAGTCAAATAATAACCACACAAAGCCGAGGACACCATGCTTGAAGGAAAATACAAATGTGAAACTGTGCAAATGCAACAGCACACAGGCGTGGAGGCCAACCTGTATGTCGGACACGAAGGACGAAGATTGAAGTTTGCCCTCCGGTATGCTGGAGTGTAGTTTGAAGGTAACCTGACCAACGTACTTTGGTGGTAAAGAAGAAATAGCAAGTGGCGGTGCGGTATCCATGTCGAGCATATCACTTCCCTTCGACATGATCATGCGTGGAAGCGATTTGTGTCAAGGAGATTATAAGTGAGTCCACTGAAGACGCAGAGGCCCCAATAATCGTTTTACCCTCCTCTCTGCACTGTACCCTTCCAACTCAAAGTGCTTTGGAAAAGACCTTTTGTGGGAGGACGTTGAGGTAGAACTTGCGATCTATTTGCCACCGTTAAAAGTAAGGGCAGGAGTAATAAGCATCAAGAAGAATGTCATTCCCTTATGAGATACCAGGGTGAGAAGTAGCGCTGCGTCGTAGCAGGAGGGATGGCTGTAATGCACTAACTTCACTCTGATTTTCTGCAATTCACCACTCTTTATCCTATTTTTGCAAGTCTGGAAGCACTCACCCTCAGTGGTTTGACAAATGGGCGGTCGAAGTGAACCAGATGCAGCTGCAAGGAGTCCGTGCATTTTCAGAGGCGTAGAACCTCCTACAGGGGCATAATTTGCAGCGCCTTCACAAATCTAATACTCACAAAATTAATTGCTGGTGTCCTCGTGATCCATTGATAAGTGACGTTTCCACTTGAGTTAACTGTGTAGAGCAATTAAGGAGCAATATCTCATGTGCGAGAACGCAAAAATTCCGACCTCTTTGATGTTACTCAAAGCATTCATGACCGTGTTTTGGCAAGTTGCTAATGCAAAGGCAGCTGAAAAGCTGGTAGTTTAGAGCCAGTCTTTATACTCCTCGCCACAAGTACAGGTAGTTGTGAGCACAGTGCATAGGACCTTCGTCACTTCCCCGCAGGACTGCCCACGACTGGTCCACATTCGCAACTATTATGGAGAATTCGAACCCTCGCCAAACGAACAAAATCGGTGGTAGCAGTGAGATTGGGAGCAAACACCAGTTGGCAAGTCAGTCGATGGTCCACAGGAGTTTCGCACAGCATAACTACGCAGTTGGCCGATTAAACATGATGGCATAAATGGCAATTGCGAGGGAGAAGGGGCGATGGAGGGCGCGGTGATTTGGAACCGAAGGCTGCATGATTGGCTGCGAGGATAATTTTGTCTCGTCATTCCCTTTGACATGACCTATTGGCGCGGCATATCTTTATCAGAAGATGTGCATAATTTCGGCCCATTCGCCCAATTATTCACTTTTAAAGTCAAAATCGTGCAGCATTGAACATTAGTGAGTGTTTCCAAGAATGGATTGGCCACGACGTGCATAAAACTTCACAATGCCAACCGTTTTTCCGGCCTCCCTCACCAAGTGGATCCTTCGCTATGACAGTGACCGAACCCTCTCATTCAGCTTACTTTGATCAGGCTAAATCTTCAATTTACTAAATATTTTCCAGCAAAGGACGAGTGGGAACTTTACACAATCTATAGCGCTCCTAACCTGCGAAATAA